TTCCATTAAACGTGTCAAATCAATTTATGAATTGATCAGCTCCACTTAAAATGTTTGACTCTTTGAAATTATTATTTGATTTTTTTTACCATTATACTTTTAGAGAAATCTCATACTTATCAAAACCCTTCACTATTTTATCCCTTTATTTATTTTTGTAGAAAGATAATCTTTATAATTTTGTGATCCAAGTGAAATATACTCCTCTTATTACTGATTTTTGCATTAAAATAAATGTCAAATCAATTCACAAATTAATAATTTCCACTTAGGGAATTTTATTTACACACCATACAAATTTTGAATAAACATCATAACTGGTGTTTAGATATAAATTTCTCAATAAAAATTAGATGTTCAAATTTTAAGTTATAAATAATAATAAATTATTTAAATATTCATTTTATTCAATTGTTTACATCTCAAAAACTTTTTTTTGGCATAAATTTTTTAATATTTAAATATTTGATTTTTCTTTATAAATTTATATTTCAATCACATTTGTAATATATACTAAGGGTGTGTTTGTTTTGAAGGATTAGGAGGTGGGATTGGACTATTAGTGCCACCAAATTAATAGTCCATTGTTTGTTTCATTTTTTTTGCTTCGGACTAATAGTTCCCCCGAACTATTAGTCTCACAAATATGGGACTATCCTATCCCATGGGAGGAGATGAGATAGAAACCATGGGATTGGTATTCCGTGGGATTATTTTCTGAAATGTCAATTTTACTCTCTATGCTATTACTTAGCAAGCAATTAGAAAATCATAAAATAGTCTTTTGAACATTTATAAATTATTTTTTTAGCGTTGTTAATTTAAAATTATATATTAAATAAAAAATTTAATAATAAATTATAAATTATGGCCTTATAAATTAAATTTTTTTAGTGTTGTTAAAAAATTAAATTTACATATTAAATTAAATTATTTTTTTAGTGTTGTTAATTTAAAATTATATCTAAACAATTAATCTCTAATTGCCTTTTTTTTTATCATTATACTTTCACAAAAATATATTCTTTTTTATGTTGATTTTTGCATTAAATATATGTCCAATCAATTTCCAGATTAAAGATCTTCATCTGTAGGGTTTGATATTAGTAATTGTTATTTTACATTTTTACCTTTTTACTTTCAAAGAAATCCTTTACCTAAATAAAACTAAAAATAAAAAATTCACCAACTTACATCTATGCCATACACAGACCTATTTGTCTTATTATATTCATATTTAAGAAGGAAAAACAATCACAGTTGCTCTAATTACTTCTGCTGCAAATGAAGTTTGTCCGTAGTTCTTACAAAGCAAATTCAAAGGGGCTCTTCTTTTGCAGTATTCGGCATTGAATTGTAAGTTCTTAATGATATTTATTATTCTTTAATTTTTAACTGTTTACAGCATCTTTGATTCTTCACCAAACCCCAAAATTTAATGATTTTTTTTTGTGAAAATGAGGTCAAATCCTTTCATCAAACTTGTATAAAATCAACAGAGAACTAAAATTTTTACCAAATCAAAAACATTTTCACTGTTAAAGACATTTTTTTCCTTCTTAACCAACACAATTTGCATTTTGCTCAGTATTGTTATCCTTATATTACAACTTTGACATGATTGTAAACTATACCAACATTTACTTTTTTATTCAATGATTTATTCATTTATTCTAGCATTTAGTCCTAATTTTCAAAGTAAAACTATTTTTCTAAAATTAGTTGATATAAAATAAATACACATATTAAACTTCTATAAATTTCTCTTACAAATCCTTAAAATAAAATGTTACTTTTTTTTTCCATAACTGTCGTTTGCTAAAATATGGGTTTTGCTTTTCTTTAAAATTGAAAATTTCATTTTTACAGCATTATTAATAATTATAAAGGACAATTTAAAAAAAAATATCCACTATTTGAGCGTTATAACAAAAAAAAAAATTCTTTAATTTAAATATCAATCTTTTGATTTCTGTCCAATCCAAACCATTTGGCTATTTTCAATTTCTAAACTACCTTTCTTTTTCTATCTGCAGTAGTCACAATTCCACACTCTCCTACCAAGTTAACTGAGCTTTGCCAGGTTCTGTCTTTGCTTTAACTCTTTAGCTACAATTAAAAATTTGTTCCTTTCATAATTTTTTTGCATGTTATATTCCAAATAATTATCATTCTTTAATTTATTTATCTTTAGAATATTATGATATAAATGTGTCAATCAGTACCATTTAATGTTTTTCCACATAAATAGTATTGTTAAACATAAGACATAGCTCAATACAATCCATTCATTCTACTAATACAAAAATAAACTTCTTTTATGTAGTTTTAGTATGTAGTTGTGCAACGCAAAAATGCGAAAACGAAGATTATGTGCTGACCAGGAAGATGCAGATCAATCTTTGGTTAAAAGTACAAAACAATTTACTTTAAAACTTTTTACTTCTGTTCAAACATTCGTTGTATACATATTTACCCATAACTTATATAAAAGAAAAGAACATTAAAATATTAACCTTTTACATATATACTTTATTCCTCTGCTTACAGAAAAACAAAGACTTGAAAAAAATAGAAGACTGCGAGAGGCATATGCTAAAAAGAAACAATATCTACTTTTACAGGCTAAAAACTCTGTTGGTGTTGATTTTTCCTTTAAATCAACATTAGATTTAAATCAAGATTAGTTATCTTACTACTAATCTTAGCTTAAAAATTTCATCTCTTGTAAATCTAACATATTTTCCAAATTAATTACTAGTACATTCCATAGACGTCCGTCAAGATAAAAAAAGGAAACGCACATCATCAACAAAAAATAGAGATTTATTGATTCAAGGGAGCAACTCAAATCAGCAACAATTGCGTATAGGTAACTAATAAGAAAAAATATTGAACATGATTACATAATAACATAGTAATTCTAAAATCATATGATAAACATTTCATTTAGTTTCTTTCTTTTTCTTCTTATTTTTATTAGGAAATCATGTTTCAACTGTTCAATCCGGCTTTGTTACATGTCATGACCACAGAGGGAAATCCCACATAAGTTATTTCGGTATTTATGAAAAAGGTTTGAATCTTATTCCTTTAAATAAATGATCTAATAGAATTATAGAAACAAATCTAACATTAACACAAATTAATTTTCATAGGTTCCACTTCCGGAACAAATCATCGCTCAAAACCTGATGCAGGTTGATTCTAAATTTAAATTCTTTACAAATTAATTTCTTTGCTTAACTTTCTAAATAAAAAAATTATATCTTCCGCTTCATAGAAAATTGTAGTTCGCGAATATGGAAGGCTTCTAACAAAAAAACATGCGGCATTCCAACTCAACCTGCTATCTTACCACTACAAAGACCTTGCAACTTTTGTGGTGCGAAAAAGTTTTACCTTGAGCCTAATAGCTTTTGTTGTATGGCTGGACAAGTCTCTTTGGTTTCCAGTAACTGTCCTCCAGAACTTGATTGGTTATATACATCTAACTCTGAGGAAGCAAAAGAATTTCGTACCTATGTTCGAACATATAACAATTGCTTTGCTTCACATCTTTTGGAGTCAAATATGACAAGGAACTGTGCCAGAGAAATAAAGGGATTTATACATTTAGGATACAAGGTCAAGTTTATCACTTCATTAATGAGCTTACATCTTCTGATGAAAATCTTAGTCATCTACAGCTCTACTTTTATGACACTGATCATGAAATCCAAAATAGAATGAAATCTTCAGAAAAGCTAAATCCTGTTATTCTTGAAAGGCTCATAAATATTTCACATCTAAATCCATATTCAATCTTCTTCAGGAGATTAGAACACATAGATCATTTGAACTCTGTACAAATTATTCTCAAATCTGATGTATCGTTAGATCAGAGAGTCTACAATCAACCTTCAGCCTCACAAGTCGTAGCAATTTGGTCTGAAAATAATGTCTTAACCAAAGAAATCTCAAGAGATATTGTTGTTCATCAAATTTCTGGTCATAGTGAAAAAGTTCAATGGTATTTTGGATGTTATGACCCATTACAATATCCATTGTTATTTCCATATAGTGAATCTGGATGGCATTATGGTATTGATAGAGTTGACAAAAACCAAACAAAAATCACATGCCATCAACAATCTATTCTTAGTGTTCATCAAGCTCCTACTGCTTCAGACCTTCTCATAAAAGAAGCCCAAGGTAAATAGATTCTCTCCTTATCAATTAAATAGTATTAAATTTTTTTTACTCCTAACTAGAAAAAAATTATTTCAGTGTTTCAGAAACAAAAGAATAAGAAAACTACCATTTCTTGTCGTGAATACTACTGCTACAAGCTTCAAATACGACCCAATGATTCTTCAATCTTACTCCGCTCTGGTCGTCTCTTTCAGCAGTATTGTGTTGATATGTATGTCAAGATTGAAACATCTAGACTTCAATTCTTTCGAAACAAACAAAGAGAAATTAGGGCTGATTTGTATCAAGGAATCATAGACAGTGTCACAACAGGTGAAGGTAGAGGTTCAAAGATTGGTCACAGGGTTATACTACCACCGTCATTCATAGGTAGTCCAAGAGATCTTAGACGTCGATATGTTGATGCAATGGCTTTGGTCTAGTGATTTGGCAAACCTGATATCTTTCTTACAATGACTTGTAATCCAACATGGCCGGAGATTAAAGCTGAGTAAGGACCTAATGAGGAAGCTCAAAATAGACCAGATTTAACCTCTCGTGTTTTTAGAACAAAAATGGAACAGCTGAAGGATGACATCATAAAAAATCAAATCTTTGGGAAAGTCGTTGCATATGTCTATGTCATTGAATTTCAAAAGAGAGGTCTTCCACATATGCATCTATTATTAATTCTAGCACCTGGACAAAAGCCTTTATCTCCTGATACTTATGATTCAATTGTATCTGCTGAACTTCCTGATTAAAAAAAACATCCTTATTTGTTTTCTATGGTGGTCAAACACATGATGCATGGACCTTGTAGTGAAATGAATCCAAACAACATTTGCATGAAGAATGGAAAATGCAAAAATCATTATCCCAAAATTTTTGAACCTATAACAAGATCTTCCAAAGACTCATACCCAATATACAAGCGTCGTGCTGATGGTAATCAAGTGAAAATCATAGGGCAAATTTTGGATAACCGTTGGGTAGTTCCGTACAATCCATATCTTCTTGCCAAATATGATTGCCACATTAATATGGAAATTTGTTCAACAATCAAAGCTGTCAAATATTTGTACAAGTATATTTACAAAGGCCATGATAAAATTGCATTCCATATTGTTCAAGAAAATCAATCAGAAATCATAGATGAAATCCAACAATTTCAGTCGGCAAGATGGATTTCACCTCCAGAGGCAATGTGGAGAATTTATGCATTCTCTTTGAATGACATATACCCATCAGTAATCCATCTTCAAATCCACCTTGAGCACCAACAATTTGTTACTTTCAATCCTTCAGATGACCTAAATTCTGTCTTAAATGATCCCATCCGTTCGAAAACAATGTTAACTGAATTCTTTTAGATGAACAAGTCAAATGAAAAGGCAAAGCTTGCAAGATATTTATATAAGGAATTCCCTGAACATTTTGTTTGGTGGCAACAAGATAGAATGTGGACTAAGCGAAAAAAGGGCAATGTTATTGGGCGCATTGTCACAGCACATCCTGCACAAGGTGAAAGATATTACCTTAGATTACTTCTAAACAACATCAGAGGGCCTACATCATTTGAATCCTTAAGAACCATAAATGGAAGAAAAGCAAAAACTTTTCGAGAAGCTGCCCTTCTCTATGGTCTCTTACAATCAGACAACAATCTTGAACAATGCTTGGAGGAAGCAATCTCTTACCAAATGCCTTACTCTCTAAGAAGATTGTTTGCAACCATTCTCATTCATTGTGCTCCTAATAATCCAAAGCAGTTGTGGGACAAATTCAAAGACTACACGACAGAGGATTATGCCAAAACAACAAATCTTTCAAAACAAGAAATTTTCAAAAAAGTTCTAAAAAGCATAAATTCAACTCTTCAATCAATGGGCAAAGATATCAAAGATTTCAATATTTGCTCTAACAACGTGCTCTCATCTGATAATCAAGATACCTGTCGCGAAATTGAAGAAGAAATGAATATTGTTGTTTCTGAAGCTGATTACTAGTCTATTTCTCTATTATCCTTGGAACAAAAAGCAGCATTTGAAAAAATCTTAAATAGGGTCTTCTCAGGAAAGCAAGGTTGTTTTTTCATAGATGGTCCTGGAGGCACTGGTAAAACCTTTTTATACAAGGCATTGTTGGCAGCAATTAGATCCAAGAATTACATTGCTCTTGCAACAGCAACACCTGGAGTAGCAGCCTCTATTCTCCCAGGAGGCCGCATGGCCCATTCTCGTTTCAAAATACCTATAGATGTTGATACATATAAATCTTGCAACATAGGTAAACAAACTGGGCTTGCAAATCTTTTGAGAACTGCAAAACTAATCATTTGGGATGAGGCACCCATGGCCAAGAGACAAAACATTGAAGCATTGAATGATATGCTGAAGGATATCAATGAGTCAGAGTTACTCTTTGGAGGCAAAGTTGTAGTTTTGGGTGGTGATTTTCGACAAACACCACCAGTCATTCCCAAAGGAACAAAATATGATTCAATTGATGCTAGCTTGGTCAATTTAGAATTATGGAAATCTATTGAGAAAATAAAGTTGACTGAAAATATGCGAGCAAGGCATGATCCTTCCTTCAGCAATTACTTATTACGCATTGGCAATGGATTTGAATCAGTCAATGATCAAAACAAAGTCAAAACACCAGCATCTATGATAATTTCTAACAATTTTTCAAATGCTGAAAATTCTATCAAAGACTTGATTCAAACTGTCTTTCCAAATCTCAAGAACTACTCAAAAGATCCAATTTCAATGATTAATTCTGTTGTGCTCACTCCAAAAAATGATTGTGTACAAGAAATAAATGATTTGTTGATCAAACAATTCCCAACAAAGGGTAGATTATATACAAGCATCGACAAGACAATCGATCCAAATGATCAAGGACAGTATGAAGACTTCTTGAATTCTCTTGAACCAAATGGTCTCCCACCTCATCATTTAGAATTGAAAATCAATAGTCCGATCATGACTTTAAGAAACATAGATCCTTCAATAGGCTTGTGCAATGGAACGCGATTTATTTGTCGAGATCTCAAAGATTTCATCATTTGTGCTGAAATTGCTGTTGGGGATCGGAAAGGACAAATGGTTTTCATACCACGAATACCATTGCAACCCTCAGATCATCAAAAATACCCAATTCAGTTTACTAGAACACAATTCCCAGTAAAGTTATGTTTTGCCATGACAATAAATAAAGCACAAGACCAAACATTACAAAAAGTAGGTCTTTACCTACGAGAGCCAGTATTCTCCCATGGACAACTTTATGTTGCTCTATCACGAGCTACAACTGCTGTAGATGTTAAAGTTCTCATTCCGCCTACAAATCAACATGCTTTGGATAACAATACCACAAAAAATATTGTTTATGAAGAACTACTAACACTTGCAGGCTGTATATAATTCATTTTTTTGTTGTAAATTTTTGGTAAATTCCCTCTTATGTAATGTAATTTTAATTTTATTTGTATTTATTATAATTATCTATTATCCTTGTATTAAATTCTTGTTAAATTGTTTCTTACAACAAATTTTGCAGGATGAATGAAGAAATAACACCTATCAAAAAAATAACTAGCACAACTAAACAATGGACAGCAAAGATTCGTGTTTTGGAAAAGTGGAATCCACGAATCCCAAAAACAGGCTCAACAAGATATCAAAGGCTCATTTTGGCTGATGCAGAGGTTACACTTTGAAATTCTTATTCTAAAATATATACCATATTCATTTTTTAGGTTCTTAACAATAACAATTCTCATTTAATTCATAATTACATAATCCACTGCCTCATTAACTTCTGTCATACCACTTGTATAGGGTACACAAGTTCAAGCTATACTTTATGAAGATCAAATAGAACAGTTCCAAGATACCTTCAAAGTTTTTAACTCATACTATGTCTCAAATGCTGCTGTGAAGTTGCTACAAGAAAAATACTGTATCACACCGCAATCATGGCAATGGCAATGGACAATCACGGCCAGCACACTTATTCGAGATGTTGAAAACAATAATGAAGATAATAATGCCCCAACATATCACTTCGTACCATTCAACGAATTCTCTGACCATCTTGGCAATGAAACATCATCCATAGGTAATTTTCTTAGATCAACATAAATAATTATCAACTTACTTTTTCATTAGATACTCTTATTGTTTTTGAATCTATAACAGATATTCTTGCAGCAGTTGTTCAAATTAAGCCACCAAAAACAATCACAACAGAAAATGGAACCACAACTGCACAAGAAATTGTACTCATTAATGAAGAGTAAGTATTTTGTATACTTGTATTTAGTATAACTTGATTTCAATACTAACAAATTCTCTTAATTGTAGCAGGTTAATGCCAATAGTTTTAACTTTGTGGGGTCAGTTTGTCACTAATGAAGGAGAGATATTGCAAGCCATTGCTCAATCATTCCCAACTCTAATTGCAGTCAAGCTTAAAGTCTCATCGTTTCGCGGTAATTATAATCTTACCACATTATACTAGATATTAAAAATATATAAAAACATTTTTTTTAATTTATTTTTTACAGGACAATCATTATCAACAAAACCAACATCAGCTTTTGTGCTCAACCCCAACTTCAAAGCTGCACACCAACTTCACAATTGGTACCATCTAATTCAAATACTCTAACTCAAATAATAATTTCTTACAAACACTAATATCAAAATAAATTGATGCAGGTGCATCCAAAATGAAGAAGTCATTAGAACTTTACCTTCTCCACTTGAAACTCATGTTCGAAACATCACAACTCCAAGTCCTAATGTAGATAAAATCATTTCCATCAGCAACATTCCATCTTCTCCAAATGCGGTAAGCTTCATATACATATTCTTCTTCTCTATAAGCATCTTAAATATATCATTAGTAACCATTCCTAATCACCTGTTACTAGAAAATGTATTGGGTCAAAGCAACTATGTCCATCACCTCACTTGATCAATCTTTTTGGTACATGAGCTGCAAACAAACAGAGTCAAACAGAGTCTTCATATAATTTATGGACATAGTTGCTTTGACCCAATAATTTATGTCCATAAATGCAAAATATCAAACTACAAATCCATAAATGCAAAATATCAAACTATTTTCGACTGTTTCCACTGTAAAAAAAAAAGGAAGTTATTGCAGAACCGAGGTAACAACAAACTAACCCTACGCCTTTTAATATAACTAATGTTTTATGTTTAATAAAACTAACATATAATTTACTACAAACAAACAGAGTCAAATTCCAAGTTGAACTCAAAGATAATTCAGGTTCAATAATGGCAACAATATTCTAGGATCATGCAGAAAAGTTCTTTTCAATTTCATCTACTGAGCTAATGAAGCATACAACACAGGTCAAATAAATTAACATGCTTCATCTTCAAATTCACTATTTTTCTTCCCAAATTTTTAAATATTCTACATATATTAAGCAGGATGGAAAAGTTTCAAGTGAAGCGCTTCCAAAATTGAATGTGCCAGAATATCACATTATTCAACTAAAGCCTCGCCAATATCAGTTCCGTGGACAAGCAATGCTTCAACATGTCATCACATCAGTGAACAATGATGATGCAGAACCCTCAATCATAACTCTTGCTTCAAAACCACATCAACAATCTGTCCAAATAGAACCCAAGGCAAAGAAAGAACTATTTCCATCAACTGTTGGTACAAATGTTGCTTCTGATATTTCAACTGCTGCTGTTGGTACAAATTCTGCTTCTGATATTTCGGCTGCAACAAGTGTACCCTCTGCCAAATCTCTCTAGAAAGAACACTCTACACTATAATATTTTTGAAATAGGTTACTACAATGTGACATATTTTTGGTTTGGTATGGCTCAGGTGGTTTGGTTTGTAACATATTTTTGTTGTTGCCTGTTTGGAACTACAATGTGCTAGACACAACTCAATATTACTTTTGGTTTGGTTTGGTTCTTACTGCTTGTGAAAGGAAATTATCCAATATTACTTACAATGGGTACTAACCCACTTACTACTACAACTCTCATTCTCTTCCTGCATGAATAGTTTGAACTTTATTTTTATAGTACTATTTTGAAAATCAAAAAAATATGATGTGCGTTGATTCTTGTTATAGATCATAAACTTCAAGTTCTTGTTGTATCTCAAAAGCTATTAAACTTTCCACATGTTCATTACATGTAGACCTCAAAACATGCTAAGTCATTGTCTTCCTCCCATATCTGCAGATTTATACAAATAAGCAACATGAATGCAAGATGCCCCTCATTTGTTGTCACATTTAATAGTCCATAATGTTTTTCATTTAATTCTATTTCATTTTTTCCATCTATGATTCATCCAG